CCACCGGCCCCCACCGGCCCCTCCCGCCCCCGAGACATCCCTGCCAGCCCCGGAGGTCGCTTCTGGGCCCCGGTCAGCCCTGCCCGCCCCCACGTCTGCTTCTGGCCCCAGATCAGCCCTGCCAACCCCCGCGGTCATGCCCAGCTCAGCCATGCCGGCCACACTGGACTGTCCCAGGCCCCAGGCGGTGCTGTCGGCGCCTGCGATCCCTCCTGGGCCCGTGCCTCCACTGCCGGCCCCTGCGGTCCCTCCTGGGCCCGTGCCTCCGCTGCCGGCCCCTGCGGTCCCTGCTGGCTCCCTGTCACCTCTGCCGGCCCCTGCGGTCCCTCTTGGCCCCGTGTCACCTCTGCCGGTCCCTGCGGACCCTGTGGCATCACTGCTGGCCTGCGCGGACATGGGCCACCCCATGCCTCCATGGCCGGCCCAATAGGACCTCCTCAGGACAGTGCCGCCGGCCCCTGCGGTCCCTGCTAGCCCTTTGCCAGCGGTGCCAGCCACCACGGTCCCTCCTCACCCTACGACCACGCCACCGGCCCCCCAGCTCCCTCTCAGGCCAGTGCTGCTGCCCCCGGCGAGCACGCCTAGCCCCATGTCAGCACGTCCAGCCCCGTAGGTCCCTCCTGGGCCAGCCCAGCCGTCCCCGGCGGTCACTCCTGGGCCTCCGTCAGCCCCAACAATTAGTTGAATCCCCAGAGCAGCCTACCACACTCAAACCTTCACCGCGGGGCCCAGGACAGCCCTGCCAGCCCAAGCGACCACTCCTGGGCCCCGAACAGCCCCACCCACCCAAGCAGCCACTCCTGGGCCCCAAACAACCCTGCCAGCCCCTGCGGCCACTCCTGGGCCCCGGCCAGCCCCAGCCTCAGCCGTTGCTCCCCCTCCCTGAACGTCCCTCCCTCCTAGGGCGACCAGGCCCACCCCGCAGGCCTCTCCTAGGGCCCCTGTGCCCGCCACGGCGGTCCCTGCTGGATCCAGTGCCAGCTCGTCAGCCCCAGCTGTCACTCCTGGCTCTGGGTCGTCCCTGCAGGCCTCTGAGGTCACGGTGGGCCAGGTCCTCTGCCTCTGGGGCGGCCCGCCAGGCCCCTTCTGTGAGTCCCGGAGCCTGAGGCCCCAGAGGGACCTCCCTGGAGGAGATTCCAGACCACTCAGTATGGGCTGCCAGCTGGCAGGCCCAAGGGCCAGGCTACCTTTCCAAATGGCCCAGGGCTTCTTTAGGCAGGGTGGGCTGTCTGCTGTTGGAAACTGAGGCTTAGCCAAAGGTGGGAACCCGCAGCCATGCCAGGAGAGAAGACGGACTCCTGCACCTCCCCGCCCTGCCACTGCAACGCCCCGCCCTGCGTGCTGCCTGCGTGCTGCTCTGGGATGCACTCACCCTGGGAGGGACTCGGCCCTCAGGGCTGGGCTCGCTGGGGCCCCTCAGCGTCTTTCTGTGCCTCTAACTACAGACACTGTCCTTGCATCTCTGAGTCTGCACACCCGTCTAGGCGTGCCTTTGTGCAGGTGTGCACCTACACAGCGTGTGTGCACGGCATGCAGGTGTGCGTGCAGTATAGTACGCAGTGCGCCCGCTACAGGCTCTGCTCTCCCGGGGCCCCAGCCTTCTAGCGAGTGTGCGTCTCCTGCCCACGGGGCAGAGTAGCCTGGAGATGAAGTGGTCAAGATGGACAGTGTCCATTCCGGGCCCCAGAGCTGCAGAATGGACACCCGGTCAGGGTCGTCTGGTCGATGAGAGCTACTGGTGATCACGCTTCCGCCCCCACCTCTCAGGACTCCACCCCGCCCCGGGGCACGCACTGTGGGGGCTGTTGGGTCTCCAGACTGGAAGAGACCATGGGCTGAGGTGTGCCTGGGAAGCCCCTCAGGGCCGTTGCTGTGTCTGGGCTCTGTCCAGATTCTCGACTCAGGGCAGCCCACACCAGGCCTCCTGAGTCCGGGCAAGACCACGCTTCGTGGCCCCTCGACCTGGAGCCTGGCATCTGCGATGGCAGTGGCTCTGCAAAGGCAGCTGTGTCCAGGGGACAGTGCTGGCCAGTGGAGCCCGGACCGAAAGGAGCTGGAGGCCTGGCCTGAGCCGTCCAGCCGCGCCTGC